CATGAACCACAGCACACCACACTTCCCCATCCATCACCAACTCCCGGAGCTTGTTCAAACTCATGTCCATCGAGTAGGTGATGCCATCCAACCATCTCATCCTCTGTCCCCCCCTTCTCCTCCCGCCTTCAGTCTTGCCCAGCATCAGGGTCTTTTCAAATGAGTCAGTTCTTTGCATCAGGTGGCCAAAGTATTGGAGCTTCAGCTTCATCATCAGTCCTTCCAATGAATATTCAGGACTGATTTCCTTCAGGATGGACTGGTTGGATCTCCTTGCAGTCCAAGGGACTCTCAAGAGTCTTCTCCAACTCCACAGTTCAAAAGCATCAATTCTTCAGCAGTCAGCTTTATTTATGGTCCAACTTTCACATCCATACATGACTACTGGAAAAACCAAAGCTTTGACTAGACGGACCTTTGTTGGCAAAGTAATGTCTCTGCTTTTTAATATGTTTTCTAAGTTGGTCATAGCTTTGTTCCAAGGAGCAAGTGTCTTTTAATTTCATGGCTGCAGTCACCATCTGCAGTGATTTTTCGCCCAAGAAAATAAAGTCTGGACTGTTTCCACTGTTTCCCCATCTATTTTCTGTGAAGTGATGGGACCAATGTCATAATATTAGTTTTTTGAATGTTGAGTGTTAAGTCAACTTTTTCACACTCCTCTTTCACTTTCATCAAGAGGCTCTTTAGTTCCTCTTCGCTTTCTGCCATAAGGGTGTCATCTGCATATCTGAGGTTATTGATATTTTTCCCGTCAATCTTGATTCCAGCTTGTGCTTCATCCAGGTTGGCATTTCACATGATGTACTCTGCATATAAGTTAAATAAGCAGGGTGACAATAAACTGCCTTGACGCACTCCTTTCCCAATTTGGAACCAGTCTGTTGTTCCATTTCTGGTCCTATTCAGTTCAGTTCAGTTTAGTTTGGTTGCTCAGTCGTGTCTGACTCTTTGGACCCTATGAATCGCAGCACGCCAGGCCTCCCTCTCCATCACCAACTCCTGGAGTTTACTCGAACTCATGCCCGTCGAGTCGGTGATGCCATCCAGCCATCTCCTCCTCTGTCGTCCCCTTCTCCTCCTGCCCCCAATCCCTCCCAGCATCAGGGTCTTTTCCAGTGAGTTAACTCTTCGCATGAGGTGGCCAAAGTATTGGAGTTTCAGCTTCAGCATCAGTCCTTCCATCTGGTCCTATTACTCCATGGCAAATAGATAGGGAAACAATGGAAATAGTGACAGACTTTATTTTCTTGGGCTCAAAAATCACTGCAGATGGTGACTGAAGCCATGATATTAAAAGACGCTTGCTTCCTGGACGAAAAGCTATGACCAAATTAGACAGCATATTAAAAAGCAGAGACATTATTTTGCCAACAAAGGCCCATCTAGTCAAAGCAATGGTTTTTTCAGTAGTCATGTATGGATGTGAAAGTTGGACCATAAATAAAGCTGACTGCTGAAGAATTGATGCTTTTGAACTGTGGAGTTGGAGAAGACTCTTGAGAGTCCCTTGGACTGCAAGGAGATCCAACCAGTCCATCCTGAAGGAAATCAGTCCTGAATATTCATTGGAAGGACTGATGATGAAGCTGAAGCTCCAATACTTTGGCCACCTGATGCAAAGAACTGACTCATTTGAAAAGACCCTGATGCTGGGCAAGATTGAAGGCGGGAGGAAAAGCGGGGGACGGAGGATGAGATGGTTGGATGGCATCACTGACTTGATGGATGTGAGTTTGAGCAAGTTGCTGGAGTTGGTGATTGACAGGGAGGCCTGGCATGCTGCCGTCCATGGGGTTGCAGAGTCAGACAGGACTGGGCAACTGAACTGAACTGAGCTGTTGACTTTGAGCTAATTTTTTTCCCCAGCATGTGAACTGTAATCTTATTTAGATTTCAACTCTCAAATGTAATTGATAAATGAAGAGAGTCACTGATAGAACTTGAGTGGTTATTAATAATAATCTCAGAATGCCTATGTACATGGGAAAGTGGATCCATCTGACTAACACTGACTATGAACACAGTCTCACAATTGTTGAAGGTTTCCAGTTTTCACGGAGGCTTTCTTTTGTCTTAGGAGAGCATCCTCGGGCCTGGATGGTGCCGTGCATCCATAACTCGAGTGTGTTCTGCAGACTGACAGGTGGGCACAAGTCGGCGCTCTCTCCTCCATGAGGCGCCAAGTAGGAGTTTGTAATTTCGGGGTTTGATGTCGATTTCAGCCCATGGTTGCTTCCCAACGCTAGGCTTGGTTACAGATGCTTCTGAATCTGCCTCTTCGGATGTGGGTGCATTATACACACAGAGATTAAATTATTATTCAGCAAGTATTTAATGGCTCATCCAGTTGCTGTGTTTGGGATGCATCTTCCCGTCTCAGCACATCTGGGCTTGGCCACGGGTCTGCTGTGGCCAGTTGAGCGTCAGAGGTGAGCAGACACGTGTCCTGGCTCTGGAACCTCTGGGGTCCCTGGCTCTGGCTCCTGGTGGCTCTGCCCCTCTTCTCTGGGCCCAGCATCGTCCCTCACGGAGCAGACACGAGCGCTGAACAAGCCCATCAGTCAGTCTGCAGTCGCCCTGTAGGTCGGTCAGCGTAGAATGATCACGTCTTACAGAAACCACCAGGTTTGAAGGGTGGCTTGTTACCCACCATTACCATGGCAACACTGACAGGTACCTTCACATAAGCCTCTTTAGAACTGTGAGTAAAATTAGAGGACAATTAAAGAGTTTGTTCATGATTCAAAATTTATTACATTTAAAATAAATATTCTAAGGCTGAAATTTCTTGTGTTTTCCGTAAACAATACATGTACTAAACATATTCAGTTGGGACCACAGAAAAATCTAGCAGAAAATAAGAAAGATAAGAGCAGAAAACAGGAAAGGAGTGACTTTCCTCTGTAAAGACAGAATTTTAGAGCAGGCAGAGAGCTTAGATTTCATCTTGCCTAAGGGGACTGCAGAGGATGAGACGATTGGATGGCATCACTGACTTCGATGCACATGAGTTTAAGCAAGCTCCAAGAGATGGTGGAGGACAGGGAAGCCTGGCGTGCTGCAGTTCCTGGGGTCGCAAGGAGTCAGACACGACTTAGTGAGTGAATAAGAACAGCAGTTTGCATCGGAACCCACCATTTTCCTTGCAGAGCTGGTAATTGGGGTCCTCGATCTATTTTCAGCAGTCCATGGGCCTGAAGTAACTGCTATGCTTGCCCGTATTGAAGCGCAGGAATGGGCCCTTTTCAAGGTCCCCTGGCTGGTCCCTTGGCCCAGGGGTCTTCCCGCCAGAGCCCCTGTCCCTGCTGTCTGTGCAGCGAGCTCGCATCCCCCCTGGGAGGGGGCAGACGGAGAGGACACATGGCCCACACTCGCTGGGGCCGCTGGCTCTATGGCAGCTTCGCGGGTTGCTGCACACACGGCCGCCCGGCGTTTCTCAGCCGCGCCTCACGCGAACCCTTGGCAGGGACTTCCTGCTCACCGGACGCCCGGCCCCCGTGACCGGCCGAAACCGCGGCCGGCCCACCTGTTGCATCAGCGGCCCTCGTACAGAACGGGCTCTGGGGACAGCAGCCCGCCCATCGGGCACAGGCCCCTCATTCCTGCTGGGCCTCGGTCTGCTCATCCTCCGCGGTCCAGAGCCGGGTCAGCGTCCACACCGCGAGAAGTGCCCCCCTTCCCCGACAAGCGACTCCACCATCACGGGAGAACCGGGGGCTGGGGCGGGGGGCGGACGAGAGAGTGACGTCCAAGCCACGATCCTGGGAAGCTCAGCCTCATGGAGACTCAAGGTGCCAGAGGAGACACACTCAGCACGCGGCGGCCCTGACGGGGGCCTGGCCTCCAGAGCCACGGCTCTGGGGCGGCCCTGCTCTTGGCTGGTCTAGAGGGAACTAGGGGCCCCTTGCTTGTGTAAGCGCGGAGTGAGATGCTGGAGAGGGCGTGATTAGGGGCCACTTGCACACACTGGGACACCATGGGCTGTTCTGGAGGGGCTGTGGGCAGGGACCCCCCCCAGCAGGCACCCGAGGGCCCCGTCCTTCTGCCCCGGGAGCTCAGAGAGGAGGAGGCATCCTCACTGCCCAGGCAGGCGGTTCTGACTCTTGGTTCCTTCTGTCCATGTTTCTGCTGACAAGTCATGGCTAGTTCAGCCTCATTGTGACTGATGAGGCTGTTTGGGGTATTTGTGTAACCCTAGGATAGCAGCTGGATGATGCATATTTTGCGGGAATACTTCTGACTTAGACTGTCCGCATAATTTTATTGTAAGATGCACACACACAGTTCAAATACAAACAATCCATTCATTCATTTATAAGACAGATCCGTGAACAACATCGCCGAGTCTGCTTTCTCGGAGATGTTTCATGTTATCTCTGAGTTCCAGTTCCTGGGAAAGGTCATGCAGGAGTGCGAGGCCTCCCTCTGTCCCCCAGTTGACCCTGGTCAGCATGTCCGTGGGCCCTCATGCGGCCGCTCGGACACAGGCCGGCACGTCAGAGCCAAGAGCCCCACGGGGCTCACCCACTCTCAATGTTCCCCCGGGGGCCTCTTGGTCTGGTCTGACACCCCTGACCCTCATCACCTGCTGGCCCTGGCCCTCTGGGCCCCCGACCCTGGGCATGTGCTTGCCCTCACCCCGCACAAAGGCAAACAGATGTCTCTGGGGTCTTCTGGAAGCTTTCCCAGGAAAGGGGTGTGTGTACTCCATGGGAACTACCACATAGCTTGCTTTAAATGATAAAGGTTAATTTCCAAGTATTTAATTCAACCAGGCTGGGTTCGTAGACCATCTTTGAAAGTGATGGAGACTCACCACAAGAAGGAGAAATGCACCAGAGACTGGAAAACAAGCTGCCAATCTGTTTCACGGAGTGTTTCGCCTGATGTGCCACAGAGGAAAGTAGGGGGACCCCTTCGACTGCCTGCTTCTCAGGGAAGCCCCTCCCCCCAGCCCGGGGACCCCCACAGGCTCCAGGAGAGGCTCCTCGCTGGTCTCAGGGTCTCCGTGAGAGAAGACAGGCTCTCTGGGGGCAGCTGGCTGCTGCGTTTTCAGCCGCCCATGTGCTCTGTAGTTTGAGATGAAAGGGCCACACGAGGGCGGCAGGGGGCGTTGGCTTGGCGACCAGGTTCATGGGGCAGCTGGGAGACTCGTTGACCACTGTGCTCTGATGGGTGGTGTCGGGGGGCACCGCCTGCAGACACATGGGGTCCCAGAGGAGCAGAGACCTGGAGCCTGGCCGTGGGCAGGGGTGGACACGAAGCGTCCGACGGTTGGGGATGGGGCTGCTCCCGGGGCTCCGTCGCCGGACCTGCTCTGCCGGGGGTGTGCCGGGGAGCTGCAGAGAAAAGCGGGGGGAGTGAATGGTATCCAGTTAAACTCAGGAAGGAGCAGTCACCCCTGCTCTGGATCCTGAGCAAATCCCAACAGGATTAACGATTTTGCTGTAAACAGAGAAATCAGAAAAAAAGACAGGGCTGTCGGTACAACCTTGGTGGCGGCAATTCAGTGTTAAGAACGGAGCCAGAGGCAGAAAACAGTAAATCTTTCTGCCTGTTGACTGAAAACAGTGAATATGACTCTGCTTACAAATAAGTAAAGTTTGAAGACCCCTAAAATAATCCGACTGCAGACAGCAAGGAGGAAACGGCTTTGCCAGAGCTGGGAAAGTGTTAACACGGAGAAGACGCGCCCGGTCCAACTCAGAAGCAGGGGGCGCATTTCAGTGCTCTAACGGAAAAGCGGAAAGGCTGGCAGAGGGCCCTCCGCCCTCGCTCACTTGCTCACCCAGGCACCAGCGCCAGCACGTGTGTAGCTGGCACGTCGCACCCGCCTCACTGGAGCCTGTTCCCTGGAGCGGGGTGGGGAGCAGGTCCCACAGTGGACTCTCTGAAAATGCTTTGACTGTGCTGGGGGTTGAGGGCCAAACAAACACCTCGTGTGCAGACCCCACCTCTGCGTGGGCAGGTGGAGAGAGGGCTGGGTGGAGGGTGGTGGGCAGGGGGTGAGAGCTCCCAGCACCAAGAGGTCTGAGCAGAGACCCTAGGGGCTGAGCTGGGGCCGCCGGTGAGCCTGGAGCAGAAGCGGGGAGAGCCCAGGGAGGGGGCCTGGACAGGAAGCCAGCTGGGTCTGTCCCGGCTGGGAGGCGCCTCCCTGACTGCTGCGCTGAAGGGCGGGAAGAACTAACTGCTCAGTCGTGTCCGACTCTCTGCGACCCCATGGACTGTAGCCCACCGGCCTCCTCTGTCCATGGAATTCTCCAGGCAAGAAGACTGGAGTGGGTTGCTGTTCCCTTCTCCAGGGGATCTTCCAGACCCAGGGATCAAACCCAAGTCTCCTGCATCGCAGGCAGCTTCTTCACCGTCTGAGCCACCACGGAAGCCCTGAAGGGCTGGGAGCCCCACAAAGACCGCGACTGCACCAGCCCTGGGGGCGGCCGGCCATCACGCCGGCCACTTTCCTCCTATTTCCTTTCAAACTCAGCAATGGCGTGGCTTTCAGAAAAGTGCACTCACACAGTGCTGTTTAAATCCACATTATTTTCAGGGAGGAGATCTGAAAATGTGCAAGGAAAGTCTTAAAAGTCTCAGGCCATTAGCAGTTCTCCTTATGTGATGCTCAAGACATTCTATCCTGAGGTAGTATCAATGGATCTTCTAACGGCTTCTGCAGTGATGAGGCTGTAAGAATGTTCATCGCAGTGTTGTTTACATTAATGGAAATTAAAACCACCTGAGGATTCTATTAGACTCATTCATGAACCCATATTCATAAAGTGGAATACGGGCCTGTATAAACGTGACGTGGGGGACCGTATCTCACAGGACGGAAGGCGGACCTGCTTGTGAAGATGGAGAATGGCTTATGAAATGATGTGTAATGGAAAAAGCTAATGAGGGTGGGATCGTTTCCACTTGGAGGTACAGCCTCGTTTCACGTGCCGCAGGAGGGGAAGCGGGAGAGGACGGTGAAGCCTGGACGGACGGCAGTTCCCGATGGAGGCACCCGGCGGGAGGGCCCAATCATGGTGCAGTCACTGGGACTGCGTTCATCAGCCCAGGCCTGCCCCAGCCTCTGCCCTAAGTTTCGTTCCGGCTTCCCAGTCAGGACCTGTAAGAGGAAAGCAAATCTCCCCCTGCCCAGTCCCCTCGGATGCCCTGCTGATGAGCATTCAGGAGTAGAAGAGGGAGCTGAAGGGACGTGCCTGTCTTCTCCTCTGTTGGTAAAGTAAAACCTGGGATCTGAGCCCTAATTCAAACCCAGAAATCAGAAGGAGAAACAGACTCTGCCTAAAGGACAACATTTGACAGGAGATTTTGAAAGAGCTGCAGGGAAAAGAGAGAAAGAGGTCAGGAACCCAAATAAACTCACAGTCATGCAGACCAGGCAGCTGAAGGCTCCGTCCCTGACACGCACATACCGCCAAGGACACTCGTCGATGTTGTAAACAGAAGGGACGTGATAAAAAGGAAACGAGACGATGGAAAACATCTCATCAGAGCCGTGAGGCCACCAGCTCTAAAGACGGATGGTAACTGTCATCAGCTCCTGCTAGTTCTGGAGCTGGTAAACCGAATCCCCCGACCCGTTCAACCTCTTCCCCGGAGTAAGCATGCCATACAAGTAGGAAGTGCTCTACATAAATACAAGTAGGAAGTGCTCTACATAAATACAAGTAGGAAGTGCTCTAGATAACCCGTAGGTTTCCTCTGCTTCCCAGACCTTGGCTGTGACCCTGGGGGCCTTGCTATAAGGCATTCTGCGCAGTTAAGCCCAGGGGTTCATCCAGACATTGCCCTGTTTCCTGGGTCCTAGATTGATAGACAAAGACGACCAAATAAAGTGGAGGCCAGGTTGTTGGGTTTAGGAAGGGGTGTGGGTAGGATGGAGGTGAACGCGCGTGTGAAAGGACAGAGCAAGGACCCATCGGGGGAATGTCCTATTTCCTGACCAGGTTGATGTTCACATGTTGACTCTGATAGACTCAGCTCCTCAAGGTGCATTCACCGTGTGGGGAGGGAGCCCCAGGAGAGGGTGTGAGCATCGCCCTGTATTGTGTCTTACAACTCCAGGTGAATCTGCAATTACCTTCCAGCAAAAAAATTAAAGAATGAGCAGTCCCGTTGACCAAGAAGATCCACCTTTGGATTTTATTAATATAGAACGATTTTATTTTTAAATTTTTAAAAATTTTATTTTTGGCTGCGCTGGGTCTTCTTTGCTTTGAGCGGGCTTCTCTCTAGTTGCGGCGAGTGGGGGCTGCTTTTTAGCGGTGTTGCCAGGGCGTCTCGTTGTGGCGACTTCTCTCGTTGCAGAGCACAGGCTTGGTCGCTCCATGGCCTGTGGGATCTTCCCAGCCCAGGGACTGAACCCATGTCTCCTGCATTGACAGGCGGATTCTTTATCACTGAGCCACCAAGGAAGCCTCCACCTTTGGATTAAAAAAAATTATTTATTTAATTCAAGTATAGCTGATTTACAACGCTGTGTTAATTTCTGCTGTACAACCCAGTCACTCAGTTATACACAGGTGTGTTAGTCACTCAGTCGTGTCTGACGCTCTGTGACCCCGTGGACTGTAGCCCACCAGGCTCCTCTGTCCATGGGATTCTCCAGGCAAGAACACTGGAGTGGGTAGCAATTCGCTTTTCCAGGGGATCTTCCTGACCCAGGGATCGAACCTGGGCCTCCCTCACTGCAGGCGATTCTTAGCCATCTGAGCTGCCAGGACTACTTAGACACATTCTTTTTCATATTCTCTCCCACGAAGCTTTATCCCAGGAGACTGGATGTACTTCCCTGTGGTGGACAGTAGGACCACGCTGTGTGTCCATTCTATATGTTATGGTTTGCACCTACTCACCCCAAAGTCCTGATCTTCCCCTCCCGAGCCCGTCTCTGGATTTCTGAAGCCCTTCTGCTCCAGGCCGGGCGGTGTCTCACAGCCTCGCTGGGTGAGAAAGTGCCTGAGGAGGTGTGGGGGCCTGGGAGAGCCCCGCGAGGGACGGGGCAAAGGCAGCGCTCTGGGCCGACCTGGGGGCGCCGGCCTTATTCCTGCTCTGGCCCTCCCTTGTTTTCCCCCTTAAATCAGAGGCACCGGAGGTCTGGACCTCAGTCTTCTCCGCTGTGATGTAGCGAGGGCCCTGGGAAGGGGTGGGGGTGAACCAAACAGTTGAGAAGGAGCGTCCCAGCAGGCCGGACGCCACGTGCCCTGGAGCGAGGGCATTGTGGGTGGAGTCCAGCACCCGCCGCCTGGGGTGCCAGGAAGGAAGGGGAGAGTGTCCCCCCGAGGTGGCCCGACACACGCCCCAGTGGTGGCCCAGCGCACGCCCTGGAGGCAGCCCACTGCACCGAGGAGTCAGTCCACCCCGGCTCCAGAGATCAGCACAGGAGGGCTGGGGGGCTCCTGCAGCACCCTGCTGTCGGGGCCAAGGTCACCTGCAGGTCACCTGCAGCTCTGCGTGGGGAGGGCTGCTGGCGCCAGAGAAAAGACAAAACGAATGGAGCGACCCCCAGCAGAGGGCCACACAGTGGCCAGGAGCTGAAGCCTCTCTTAAAGAGTTACTGTGTCTTCAGGATCAAGGTTAGCATACAACTGCAGACAAGAATACCGTCTGCTGTCCTGCTGAACAAAGGGTGCTGCGGCTGTGGACCCCAGTCCCGACAGCCGCCCGGGATGGTGAGCCCTGGGGGGACGCAGGGTGAGATGATGCAGGGCACCGGCTGGGGAGCAGAGACGCAGGTCAAAGGAGTAAAGCAACTATACCTCAGTGAAAGTGAAGGAAAATCTGCTTTGCGTCTGCGTCTCCCCTGCGGGACGCAGACTCTGATGTTAGGACCACAGCTCCATCAGGTGCGCAGGGCTCTGAAACTGACGGGTGTCCGGGAGGTGTCGCGGTCCTGTGCGGACTGGAGGAATGAGTGAACTGGAGGAAAAATGAATGGCGGCCCCGGCCTGCACATCAGGAACATCCCAGGCCGACGTGCAGCCAGCCAGACAGTGCTGACACCTGAGCCGTCCGTCTGCCTCCTGCAACGCCCCAGCCAGGGCTGACAGCGGGGGCGGAAGGGGCCCAGACGGCCCGGAGACCCGCGGGCCGGCAGGTGTAACTGGCGGCGGGTAACTGGGCCCTGTGCTCAGGGCTCTGTCGTCAATTCTTGTGAATGTCACTTCGCGCTCTGCTTTTTCCTGGACCCAATGTTGTTTTTCCCCTGAGCAGCATTTGGGAATTCAGAGATTTCCTATGCATTTGATTTAACATCCCACACCTTCAGGTCCTGATTAAGCCTGACATTGTCTTTATAGAGTGAGTTGTCAATAGAGGTGAAAACCTGTTTTCACAATGATTCCTTCTCACATCCCATGAGGTGCCTGGGAAGAAGTGCCCTTGTTAAGATGAGGGCTTTGCTTCCAGTCTTCTGCAGGGTGACACACCACACAAGACCCGGGAGGCTGCCTTGGTAATTACGGACACTTAGATCGCATCACAGAGATGTGGAATTATGCCTGATTAACTGTGGAATCTATTTCAGAACATCACAGATTTTTAAGTGACATTTAAGATAGTCCTAGCATGTTGGCGTTGAGTGAGAGAACAGAATTGTGCTGTCTTGACTCATATGTAACTATTTCCTGAACGTATTAAAAAAAAAAACCCTTTCACATAAACTAGAGAGCCAGGCCCACAGGTCAGTGCCGCTTTGATTTGGGACTAGAAACTATCCCCCAGCTTTGTCAGGGTCACTGGCCGCTTCAGTGCTGCGGGTGTCTCTCCAGGCATGATGACTGCAGCATGAGCAGCCCCTGGGCCGTCTGTGGCCCTGAACCTTTCGGGGGGCAGGCAGGCATGGCCCCACTCCTAAGGCAGACCCCACCCGCGGTGCAGAGTAAGACACGGCTCCAAGACTCGTGCCCCAAACAGAGGCAAAATCGCTCTCTGCTCTGTGATGAGAGTCGAGGCTAATTTTATCCCCCCTGTGCGCCAGGGCACTCGGAATTTTTCATGAGAAAGTAATGACTTCCAGGAATGAAATAAACTCTATACACATTTTCATGGGAAATGGATCATTTCTGGAAAATAATTAAAATGAATCAGATGAAGTCTTTTCTGGCCGTGAGATAGAAATGGATCATCCGTAACCACGGAAGAGGACTTTGGGGGCCAACCGATGACTGTGCTTGGGCTATTCTAAACCCTCTTAACAGTGCCAGAAACGGACGATTTCCTTGTTGTCTTAGCGCCCCAAGCCCTGCTCGTCTCAAGACCTCGGGGCTGACCATGCTGGCAGGGGAAAACGCTTGAGCAGAGTGCGACAGAGGGTGGCTAACCAGAAAGAGAGAGCTCTTTGCTCGAAACTTGTTGGGAATCTCAACAACGTGTGTCTCCTCGCGACAAAACCGCGCCGTCTTCCCCTTCAGAGCCGTCGGCGGTGGGGCTGAGCTTGGGCGCGTCTGGCGCCTCCGGGGGCGGGCGGGCTGTTGGCAGAGGGCGAGGCTGGGCTGGGGCTCCCATCTGAGACAGCGTCTGCCTGCTCTCCAAGCAGCTGCTGCACGTTTCTTGTGGGGATTCCTGGAACGCCGGGAGCTCTGACACACAGCGTGTGGGGTCACCTGGCGACAGAGGGACACCCGCTGAGGGCCGGGGCTGCCCCAAGGGGCTGGACCGGACACTCGGGGTACGGATGGAAGGGTCTGCTGGGGGGACCCCCAACTTGAGGCTCGGTGGTCATACTGACGCCTGTATGTTTCTTCACACCTTAGCCGCGCCCCCCCCCATGAGTTCCCATAGTTTTTGTTGCAATCCACTGATATGATTTTTACTTGGATTTTTCCTCCCAAATCACCGGTGGCTCAGCATGGCGCCCTGAAGCCCAGGGTCCAGGCTCACAGGCCCTTGGCTGTGGTTCCGCTGCAAAGCCTGGGGCTACGTCTCCTTGTCTGAAGCTCATCTATACGCTCGAGAGGTTTGCGGCTTTTTCCTCATATTCTAGGGTAACATTCTCCTTTATTGCTGTTCCTTTTTGCTTCCAGGTGAAATTTCAAATTGGTGCATTAAGCTCCAGGAAGGTTCCTGCTGGGAGCTGTCCCGGTCCTCCCCTCTTCCCTCATGCGCCCCCACTGACTCCTGCTTTGCTCTGGGTCCTGGGCCTCTCTAGCTTCCAGGACTCCAGGGGAAATCTGGAGACAGTGAGCTTCCTCCCGGAACTGTGACTGCGCTCCCATCCACTCCCCCCTGCCACGGCTCAGGTGGCTGAACCCCACTGGCCGGGTAGTGCAGACAGCTGGCGCTTGTTTCTCAGTTCCGGGGGATGGGAGCCCAAGATCAGGATGCCGGCAGATCCAGGGTCTGGAGGACCCCGTCTTCCCGGCAGGGCGGCGGCCACCGTCTCCACGCGTCCCCACAGATGGACAGAGACTGGTCTGGGCTCTCTCAGAGGCCCCACCCCGGTGACCTCACTGAACCCCCTAATTCCAGCCCATCAGAGGACGGGGCTGTGACAGATGGACTTGGGGGAGGCAGACATTCCTCGCACACCCTGTTCCCTCCCTTTGGCTTCATCTTCTGCAGCACGATGCCTTTCTTCACAGAACTCTTGCTACTTCTTTTTAAAAAGCATTTTAATTTTAGTTGGAGAGTCGTTGCTTTACACGGTTGTGCTGCTTTCTGCGTGCAGCGACGTGAGTCCCTGTGAGCACTGGGACGCCGCTCCCTCTCGGACGTCCGCCTCCCCTCGCCCTGCTGCTCCGGGTCAGCGCAGGGCACGGAGCTCCGGTGCTACCAGCAGCCTCCCGCGCGTCGGCTGCACCCGCGGCCGCGCGCACCCGTCCGTGCGCCTCTCTGAACTCGCCCCGCCCTCCCCTTGCCCCGCTGTGGGCACGCGTCCGCGCTCCTCGTCGGCGTCTCTGTTCTGCCCGCGGCTACACACTTAGTTTTGAGACCGTTGCCAAAGTAAACAGCGGTGACAGCCATTAGCGTCTAAGAGTGCTCTGCCTGTGTTTTCCTCTAAGCGTTTCGGAGCGCCCGGCCTCCCCTTTAGGTCTTTAGTCCCCCCGAGCCTGTTTGCAAAGCAGAAGCGAGTGGCGCAGACGCAGAGAACAAGCGTGGACGCCGGGGCTGGGGGGAGGACCTGGGAGCCCGGGTTGACGTGCGCCCCGTCACGTGTGAAACAGGACGAGGGAGAACCTATGCGCACAGCGGCGGGAAATCTCGCCCGTGAACTGTGGCGCCTAAATGGGAAGGAAATCCGAAAAGGAGGGGATGCGTGTGCACGTGCGGCTGGTTCACTTTGCTCTATAGCAGACTGACACGGCCGTCTAAAGCAACTATACTCCAGTAAAAATTTGTTTAAAAACGTGATCACATTTCCTAATGTGCTTTGGCTTGATTAGAGAGCTATTGATTACACGGGCTGATACAGAGGGCCAAGCTTTCTCATTACTTCTGGTCATTTCACAATTTTCCTATTGAATTTCCAGGTGACGAAACGTCTTGTTTCCAAACACGGATCCTTTTATCTGATGCTCATTTCCTTCTGTGTCTTGTCCCTCACAGGGCAGTGCAGAGGGAGTGTGTCTGGGTTCTGGACACCGATCCAGCTCCGGGAATGTGTTCACCCCCCGGTCGCTGGGCCTCAGCCCCGGATTCTCATCTCGGGGAGGGGGGTTCCTTACTGTCCTTGTGTCAGAGATCATTAGATCCCTGCCGGGGGGGCCCCAGGAGAGGCACGGGGACACGTGGTGCAAAGGACCAGTCACATGTGACCCTCCGCTTTCTTGCTTGAATAAGGGTCCTGGAGGACAGTGAAGGACACGGAGCTTGGTGGGCTGGCTCGAGGCTGAGAACAGCTCTGAAGTGCTGCTCCAGCGGGGGGTTTCTCCGAGCCCTTTGAGAACACAGCCTGTCAGGCAGAGGAAGTCTCCCCCTCCAGTTCCCGTTTGCTCTGTTTTTTAAGCAGGAATTAGTGTGGAGTTTTGTCAACTGCTTCTTCCCTGTGGCTCCTGTCTGATGACAGGGAGAATTCCATTAACAGGTTTTATTAATGGGACTAATCTGTGAATCCACCCAGAGGGTGCCAGCAAAGAGATTTCTGGTGAGAGTGTGGAGGAGGGACCCATTGAAGGGAGCCACCTGCAGGGACCCCCTGAGACAGAAGGAAAGTAAAAGGACACCCCTTCTTCTACCCCCGAGTATGACCAGGTTTCAGAAGAGCCGGCCTGTGAGGCTTTACAGGTGAGCTCTGAGCAGAAGCGCGTGGTCAGGGATCCCCAGGAAGCTTGTGACTGGGCAGCTTCACAAAGGACCTGCCTCTCGGGAAGCTGGCAGAGTTCAGGGCACCTGACAAGGGAAGCTGAAGCCCCAAGGAGTGGCTGGAGGCCTGAGTGTTAGCCAGACTCTGCTGGCCCAGAGCAGGGTCTTCAGAGGAGCAGAGCAATCAGCCCAGGGCCACGGGGCCCCGGACCTTCCCCCCATTCCCGTTCCTGCCCTGTCCTCACTGGACTGAGCTCTGCCGGTGAAAGGACAGGGGCTGAGGTGGGCGGCTGCACAGAGGACCCCAGGTAGGAGAGGCCGAGGGCGTATCTGAAGAGGCTGGTGGAAGATGCCCAGCCCGCTCAAGAGATGGCTGTGTTTTCAAAGGAGAAGGGGATGTTTCCATAACATCCAGAAGAGACGTGTGGCTTTAATCCAACTTTCAGTGGTCAGCGTGCTTGTGGAAGGAGAGCAGGGCGAGCGGGGCTCCTTACGTGCTCGCATCACAAGACCGAGCCTTGTGGATGCAGACAGTACCAGTGCAGGGTCTGCCTGAGATTAGTCCGTCTGCACACACGCTTCAGGACCGGAGGGTGTGCGCAGCGGCTGCTTCTGCCCAGAAGGTGGTTATTGTCCAGTCCCTCAGTCACGTCCGACTCTTTGTAACCCCGTGGACGGTAGCACCCCAGGCTTCCCTGTCCTTCACCATCTCCTGGAATTTGCTCTCATGTCCCTTGAATCGGTGATGCCACCCAACCATCTCATCCTCTGTCGTCCCCTTCTCTTGCCCTCGGTTCTTCCCAGCATCAGGGTCTTTTCCAATGAGTCAGCTCTTCGCATCAGGTGGCCAAAGTACTGGAGTTTCAGTTTCAGCATCCGCCCTTCCAACGAATATTCAGGTCTGATTTCCTTAAGGATTTACTAGTTTGACCTTGCAGTCCAAGGGACTCTCATCAGTCTTCTCCAACACCAGAGTTCAAAAACATCACTTCTTCAATGCTCAGCCTTCTTTACGGTCCAGCTTTCACATCCATACATGGCTACTGGAAAAACAAAAGCTTTGACATTATGGACCTTTGTCGGCAAAATGATGCCTCTGCTCTTTAATATGCTGCTCAGATTGGTCACAGCTTTTCTGCCCAGAATTTCGAAGCCCCAAAAGCTCCCTCTTTCGGCTGACCTCCTGCTGGCCCTCCAGGCCTCAGTCCAGGGTACCCCACGGCTCTGTCAAGTTGACACAAAAAAATCAGCCGTCACGGGCCTTTCCAGTTTCCTGCTGTTATAACTAAAAACGCCCCTGTGACACCTTTACCATCTCCTCGGTGACCGTTCACTCACTGCCCTGGGTGGGAGACACGCTGACCCAGTGCAGCGGGAGGCACTGCCAGACTCGTCCCAGAAGCTGCTTGCTGTCCAGCAGGGATGTGCGTTGCGGGCACCGTTTCCATTCCAGCGGAGCCGCCGGGCGGCCAACAGCAGGCTCTGACTGCAGCTGCCCTCCCCCGTCTGCGCCCGAGACCGTGGCCACTGGACAGCAGGCCGTGCCCTGAGCCTGCAAGGCGAACCGGAGGAAGGCGGTTTCCTTCCAGCGGCACTGGTTCTGATTCTCCATCTAAGTCAGCATCTGACCTTGGAGGAGGCCCTTTATCTCTTCGGGTCTCCGTCAGCCCCTCTCTGGGCTGAGGGGGCAGACCACTGGTTCCAGGCTCCTCACCAGGGTCGCCATGCCAGGAGGATACACAGCTCTCCCCGTGGGGACAGTGGCCCAACAGGCAGTGATGTCCGTCCTGGAGTGGGAGCCCTGGATTGGAGAGCCCCGAGCCCGTCCTGCTCCAGCATTGCCTGTCCCTAATCGATTAGACACGTGGATGGGGTAACTTACGTTAACTTGTGGGTGAGATATGCCTTCCCGGTGGGTGCTCGGTGCAGGAGAGGCAGCGGGCAGCGGGATGCTCACACTTTCATATGTTCGGCAGAATCAGTCTGCTCTGGTCATTAGGAACGTGGGCAGGTACTCGTGTTCTGCTCTGCGTGCTGAGGTGGGGCTTGGCAGCAGAGGCTGACACCCTGGCAGGAACAGTGCGGTTTCCCTGCACTCACTGTCTTCTTTCCCCCTCTTCTCCTTCCTTCTGCCTCTCTACTCCTTCCCTCCCTCCCTCCTCTCTGCCCCTTCATTGTGGAGTTTCTCACAGACGTGCAAGAGGAGAGAATAACCTCCCGGGCTCGCTCTGCCCGTCGCCCAGCCCCAGAGCTCACCAGCACGCTGACTTCCCTCCAGCAGCAGCGGAGGATCGGACGCTGCGCGTGTCGCACGAGGCCACGTGTGGGCTGGTTCCTGAGCCGCTGTCACAGTCTGCGTGAACTCGCTCACATTCCCATCTTGACTGACTCATTTGACAGAAATAATACATTTGCACGACAATACCTATTTTGACATGTGATTATGCCTCAACAATACGCACCTTATATTAAGTCTTTATGTTAACAAGCGGTATGAGAACTGCAACTTTTCTTTGTTCCTTACTTTTATGGCAACATGTACTGGATAAGCCTGGATACTTGAGTAATATGTACAGACTAAAAATTGCAAAGATAGCATAGAGAAGAGGACAGTATTTTAAGAACAGAAAAATAGAGAAGTATTTTGGAATATGCTGACACCCAGATTGATGGCTCCTTGTTCCTGCTAATTCAATTCAATTCATATTTATGACAGGGTGAAGATTATCCCATGATGTAATTGAACACTATGGTATTTATATATATATATTTGTCTCCCTCCTACTCCTTCATAAACCTGCAGCATTTTAATCATTCTTCAGCCACAGGTGAAACCGGTGAGCCCGGACTTTCCTGCTCCCTGCACGGTAGTAGAGGTTGCTATGGTCACTTTCAGTTGAAAACGTAATTTTTTGGTCAAAAAATGAAATGCCAATTCCCTGAATTTGATTTTATATCAAATTTTTCTCCTACTAAAGTAAGTCAGAAAAAGACTGGAAAGGGAGTAAAAATCACATAGGACAAGTAGAAAGCAATTTGCAGGATGATAGACATAAAGAATGGCAATATTCACATTAAATATAAATGATGTAAATGTTGTAATTAAAATGTGGAAATAGGTTAGTTTAAAAAGACTCAAATATATGCTATTCATAAGAAATTCAAATAAAAAGACATATAAGTTCAAATGAAAATACTTAACAAGTATATCCCATGCTCACCTTCACATAAAATTGACTATAATAAATATTATATAGGCCTGTTCTAGAGCCACAAATATTACCAGGGATAGACTGTCACTTCATAATGATGGTAAAAGGGTAAACTCACCCAGGTCACGCAAACCCTAAACTCCTACACACCTATAAGCTTGAAAATATATAAAGCAAAAAGAGATATAATAAAGTTAAAAATTAATTCCAGTCTGAGATTTTAAAATTGCTCTCTCAATAATTGACAGCATAAGTAGATGGAAAATAATTCTATATAAGACCAAAATTCTATCAACAAACCTGAAATAACTGACATTTGTAAAATCCTCTACCTAGCAGCAAGAAGGCACAGTTTCCTTTAAAATGGAACGTTTACTAGACAGACCATTACGGTCATAAAATTCAAAATATCCTGAAAAGCATTTAAGTCATACAAAGTTGTTTCTGAATACAATAGAACTAAATTATAAATCAATAAAAGGAAAAATTTTGAGAAATCCCCCCAATATTTAAAAACTAACATATTCCTAAATAACCAGCAATTCAAAAAATTAAGAAATATCAAAAATATTTAGAATTGACAGAAAACTGAAATATAATAGATCAAAATTTGTTTGATGCTATTGAAGTAGTTATTGGTGGCTCAGATGGTAAAGAATCTGCCCACAGTGTGGGAGACCTGGGTTAGATCGCTGGGTCAGGAAGATTCCCCTGGTGAAGGCAATGGCTACCAACTCCAGGATTCTTGGCTGGAGAATTCCATGCACAGAGGAGCCTGGTGGTCTACAGTCCATGGGGTCACAAAGAGTTGGACACGATGGAGCTATTAGCACTTTCACTTTCACTTGCTATAGCAGTGAATGGTTATATTAGGGAAAAAATATCTTAACCAAGATCTCTTGGAGACTAAAATAAAATCAAATTAAACCAAAATTAGGTAGAAGAAAATAAATCATAAACTAAGAGCAGAAACCAATGAAAGATGAAATGGACAAACAGTAGAGAAAATCAACAAAACCAAAATCTGCTCTTTTGGAAAGATTTAAATATTGATAAATCTCTCGTAAGGAAGACTCCAAGTTCAGATGACTTTACCAGTGAATCTATCGAACATTTTAGGAAGCGATAGGGCCCATTCTACAGGCACTCGTCCTTGCAGCTGGAGGGAAGGGAGTGCTCCTCAGGTCATTTTATAGGGCCAGGGGTACTACGATGCAAAACAAAGCCAGAAACCCACAGAGCCAACACAAGGAATCCTGAGAACGTGAGTATAAAAATTCTCAACAAATTTTAGCAGGTTAACCTCAACAAAGCACGAAGAAACAAATAATCATTACCAAGTGGGATTTATCTCAGGAATGCCCAGCTTCTTTTAACATCTGAAAATCCATTAAGGTAACCAAGCATATTAGAAATCCAGAAGAGGAAAAACACACAATCTTCTTAATAGGTGCAAGCAAATGAACAGAGCCCTTGATAAAGTCCAGTATGGCTCCATGATAAAGATTCTCAATAAACTAGGGTTGGAAGGGACTTCCTCAACTTGACTAAGGGCATCTATGGCGGATGAACATCATACTCAATGGTGAAAGACTGAACGGTCCACCCTAAGGATGAGGCAAGGGTGCTTGTTTTCACATCGCTATTCATCAGAGCGTTGGAGTTTCTGACCAGTATTATGTTTCTACGTAAAATAGGGCAAGAATGCATCCAGAAGTACATAGTATCTAGATTTAAGATATTAGGTATATTGTGTCTAGAAGGAAGGAAATAAAACTATCTCTATTCAGAGATAGCATGATAATCTATTTAGAAAATCCAGAGACTTTCCTGGTGGTGCAGTGGTTAGGAGACCGTACTCTCAACACAGGGGCCCTAGGTTCACTCCCTGGTCAGAGAACTAGACCCCACCTGCCACAATTAAGAGCTCACATCCTGCAAGGAAGGTCAGAGACCTTGAGTGCCACAACTAGACCCAGTGTGTGCGCGTGTGCTCAATTGCTTCAGCCGTGTCTGCCCCCACGACTCTATGGACCGTAGCCTGCCAGGCTCCTCTGTTCATGCAATTCTCCAGGCAAGAATAGTGGAGTGAGTCGCCCTGCCCTCCTCCAGGGGACCTTCCTGACCCAGGGATCGAACCCACGTCTCTTATGTCTCCTGCATTGGCAGGCGGGTTCTTTAACACTAGCGCCACATGGGAAGCCCAAGACCCAGCACAGCCAAGTAAATAAGTAAACAAATCAAACAAACAAAAAAGAAAATCCAGTGGAATATACATAACAGCTACTAGAAATCATAAGAGTTTAGCATTATTTCAGGATAATGTATATTCTTGTAACTAGCAATCAGAAAAATACAAAAAATCAATATTCTTTACAATAGTATAAGAAAATGAAATGCTTATAGACAACTTTGATGACAGATGTAAAAGACCTGGACACAGACATCCATAAATCATCACTTGGAGAAACTACAAAAGAACTGAATGAATAGAGATTTCATGCGTCCAAAGACTCGGTACTGTTGGGATATTATTCTCCCCAACTGATCTGTAGATTCAACACAATCCCAATCAAAATTTCATCCAGCATTTGTGCATAAATTAATAAACTGATTCAAAAATTCACATGAAATTTCAAAGAGCCTAGACTAACAGAAAAACTGAGCAAAAGAACAAAGTTGGAAGACTTACCTACCTGATTTTATGACTAAAAAGTCACAGAAGTGAAAAGACAGGTGGTTAAGAAACAGATAAATATGTGAATGATGGAATAGAAAGTTCAGAGATAGATCTATATGTGCATGAACAGCTGATCTGGAGAGCTGCAGAAGCAATTCAGTAAAGAAAAGATGGGAGGACGGAGCGGGGTCCCGGGCGGACGCGCGCTCGGGGACTTTGGGCATTACACCTGTGGAGGCCGCGGCGGGAGCGCTGCGCCTCCTCTCATCCCGGCCCGGTGCGCGGGAAGCCCGGGTCCGGCGCGTCCTCATGGGCCAGCGGGCTTGGAGGCGGGTCCGGAGGGCAGCGGAGCGCCCAGAAGCATGACGTCCCAGGAAGGCAATTATGGGAAGTGGACGATATCCAGTAGTGATGGAAGTGAGGAGGAGAAGCCACAGCTGGACAGGCCATCTGCCTCTCTCCTCCCCCACGCCAGGCAGGGGGCCACTGGGCAGCCGCAGTGCACCTGCTCCGAGGCTCGGAAAGCCGCCCACACGAGGAAGCCGGAGCCCGTGAAATTCAGCACCACAGACTCAGTTTCAGAAGCTTCACCCTGCAAAAGACAGAAGAGCGGTTCCCAGGAGGACCTCGGCTGGTGTCTGTCCAGCGGTGAGGATGAACTGCCTCGAGAGCTGCAGCAGGAGCAGCCGAGGGCCTGGGTCAAAGAGGAGAAAGGCCCCCTTCTCCCAGGGACCGAGCGCCTCGGGGAGCTGGGCCTCACGGCCCCCCGACCAGCCGTGGGCTCCCGGAGGAGGAGGATGAGCAGGAAACGTCGGGCGAAGGCCAGGCTGTCTGGGACTTGCTGGATAAAGGGAGCCCCTTCCGGTTCTGCCTCACGAGAGCCTCCGGGATTAAGCCCAAGTGTAACACGGGACCCCTCCACGTCAAGGCTACTTTATCTCCTCTCTTTGGGACACTTGTTTCTTCAGCTCAGTTTAACTACCGCTTTGACGTGGACTGGCTTGTAAAACAGTATCCACCAGAGTTCAGGAAGAAACCAGTCCTGCTTGTGCATGGAGACAAAGGGGAAGCAAAGGCTCACCTCGTTGCCGAGGCAAAGCCTTACGGGAATGTCACCCTCTGCCAGGCAGCCAAGCTTGTGAGATCTTACCTCTCCGGACAGGGATCAAACCCACACGCCCTTAGGAAGGCGAAGTCCTAAGCACTAGACCACCCGGGATGTCCTGTCCCTAGTTCTTTTCACAAGAATCACCTGATACTCCAGAGACTCAGACTGAAACCCAGCCTGTTAGAAAACTGCCTCGCGACTTGCACAGTACATATGATTCAAGTCCCAGGAGGGGCAGTCACTGGTCTCATAACAGGCTTGTTTTGCTGGCACCAAAGCAGACAGGCGGCAAAGAGAAGGCCGCTGCCCAACTTCTTTCCTGCCGTCATTCAGTCGCTCAGTCGTGTCCAGCTCTTTGCCACCCCGTGGACTGCAGCACGCCAGGCTTCCCTGTCCTTCACTATCTCCCAGAGTTAGCTCAGACCTGATGCCACACAACCATCTCGTCCTCTGTCGCCCCCTTCTCCTCCTGGCCTCAAGTTTTCCGTTTCTTTCTACATCCCTGTAATTTTGTCCCGATACTTTCCAGTCAGTACATGGAGTTTCCTTTGGACTCATTGTTTTAGACTCCATGTCTGAAAGGGTCTTTTTATGAGTGACATTTCCTGTAAGAATTAAGGAACGTTGATGATTTCCTTCCTGTGGTGGTTCTCAAGTGGCTGGTGAATGTGTGCCTTTTCCTGTATGAGCAGGTATGTCAGTCCATTCCTCAGCAGCTTGGTGAATGAATCTTTCATGGCCCTTTTCTCTCCTGGCCAATAGCTTAGTGCAATTGACTCAGGACTTCTGCTCTTGGAGTACAGAGACAAGGGTAAATTACATAGAACCTGATTATTTTTATTTTCCATTTACTTTATAATGTCCTTTTTCCTCCATTCATGCAAGACTAAAGAATTCCAGCTCCCCCCACCAAAAAAAAAAGAAAGAAAAGATGGTCTTTTCCCCACATTGTGCTGGGACATTCAGATATAAATATGAAAAAAAAATCCAAACTTTAACCATATCTCTCACCATATGCAAAAATTAATTCAGAGTGAGTCATAATCCTAAATACAAAATCTAAACTCTAGCAGTGCAAGTCATCTACATAGAAAAGATCTTTGAGACCTTGGTTTAGGCAAATAATTCATAGATAAAATTAAATATCACCACCAAAATTAATATCTATAAAACAAAACATTGATATATTAGACTTCTTCTAATTTAAAAACTCCTGGTCTTTGAAAGACTATTAATAGAGTAAAAGGACAAGTGACAGACTGGGAGAAAGAAGTCTTTATAAAGCATAAATTTAATAAAGGATGTGTGTCCAGAATTTATAAAGAACTCTCAAAGCTCATTAAGAAAATAACCAAGTAAAAAATGGACAAAATATACAAACAGTCCATTCAGCAAAGATGTATGGGTACCAAATAAGTGCATGAAATAATGGTCATCAGGGAAATGCAAATAAAACAGTGACGAGACATGACCATGTGTCTATCAGAATTAAGAACTGACCCTACTCAGGGGGAGTGGGGTGGGGGGACTAGAGGGCTTGTGTGATGCTGGTGGGGACACGGCTGCTTGAAACACTGGCCATTTCTTAAAGCAGATTAATAGATTCTTCAGTGCCCTTGTCCACTTCAGGCCTCTTGTCCTGGGAGGACATCTCTCCTCCCCCGGTCTCCATGGGCGTGAAGGCGACAGCCTTACCTAGAGGGTAAGGTCCCATCACGGGCATCGTGGGAAGACAGTTGCAAACATGACGCCGTGAGAGCCAGCACGCACGGGGGTGGGGGGGTGGGCTGTGTCTCCCCACTGGGGCCCTTGTGGTCAACCTGGATGCCCACGTTTTCTCCCGGCTGCAGGATCTGGTCTTAGGGCCAGTCCTGTGGTCTTCCACAGCACACTGACTATTCTTAGAGACTCTGTTAATCATATGAGCAAAAAGCTCTAGGAAGACCGTGCAGAGTGTTAAGCTGTGTTGCTGGGTCCCGAGTCAGGCTGAGGGTGACTGCTCCATCTCTTATTCCCTGGGCATTCTCCCTTTCAGAGGAGCCGTTAACTTGGGGTTGCCGGTAACACCTTAAAGTATTTTTCTTTTTAATCTCCTGAACCTTGACCACATAGCCCCAGTCAGTGTCTGCGCTTCTGGAGGAGGGTCTCGTGGGCACTGCCACATCCGAGCCAATGACACAGGGGAACCAGCCCCTAAAGCACCTCCTTAAAACCTTTTTATCTTTTGGGGGGGTATAGCCGATTAACCATGTCGTGGCGGTTCCAGGTGACCAGCGAAGGGACTCAGCCACACATATACGAGGATCATTCTGCCCCAGACTCCCCTCCCATCCCGGCTGGCACGTGACATTGAGCAGAGTTTCCTGCTCTAGAGCAGGTCCTCGCTGGTTCTCCATTTTAAAGACAGCAATGTGTACACGTCCCTCCCAATCTCCCTAAGTATCCTGTCCCCCAGCTCCCCTCCCGGCAGCCAGTTTCATTTTCTAAGACTGTGAGTCCCTTTCCGTTTTGTAAGCTCATTTGTGTCATTTCTTCTTTGTCGAGTTGAGCTGCTCACATCTTTGTGCCCAAGTCTCCTCCCCGAAACTCTCACCATCACGAAATGCAGACTTAGTACAAACTCGGCTCACCCCCTCTTCTTTCACGGGCTGCTTTATCCTTCTCAAGGGTGATAAAATGGTGGATTAATCAGATGTTTTGACTCAGAGAAGAGTCGCGCTACTGCGTATCTATTTCCTGAGTCCAAGTTCCTAATTAGCATGAGACTTTTTTGCAGTCCAGTAAAGATAATCAAAACGATGTCTGTTTAAACTGAGAATGCTTTCTCAGTCAACCATAATTTGATCAGATTTCAGAGAGGATTTTTTTTGTCCATACTTGTGGAAATGTGAAATAACTAAGCAGTTAAAATTCATGATCTACACTTTTGTGTCATTATTATTGCATTAGCATGAAATTATACTTCTAGTTAGTCATAATTATACTCATAATTATTCAATTTATCACTATAGGTCCTCCTGGAAGTTTTATTGGAGGATTTATTAACATTAATAAATTGTTTTTCTTCATCTCCATATTATGAATTCTTCTCATGTGTGATATGATCTATTATCCATAAAATTATAACAGACCCCAAGTATAGGTGGCTTCTCAGCATGCAAGGGGGGGTCTTTGTCACTCGGTCCAGTATGTGACCCAACCGTCAGGGTCCCGGGGGACTGGCTTAACGCCACCAAATCTGCTGCAGTCGGAAGGCTGTCCAGCCACAGAGAAGCTCGAAGTGGACGGGACTGGATGTTTTCTCCCAGGCCACTGGCATCTGGAGCCACCGTCTGTTGCTCACAGGAGGTGGAGGCAGCGAACACGCAAGCAGCTGGTCCTTCTGCCTTCAGACATACCCCTGCCAGACACAGTGCTGCTTCCACATCTTGCTCAGACTAGCTCGTCCCCTTCAACACTCCTCCTTGGTCTCTTTCTATTAGGCCGTCACTGACCACTGCCCATCTGCCGTCCCCTCTCTCTCTTTGAATTCTTGGGGCACCTTCCTGTCTTTCTTTCTTTCTGAAGACTTACGTTTTGGATGTGGATCATATTTAAAGTCTGTGTTGAGTTTGTTACAGTATTGTTTCTGCTTTACATTTTGGGTTTTTGGCCACGAGGCATGTGGGATCTTAGCCCTCCAGCAGAGATGGAGCCCACACCCCCTGCACGGGAAGGTGAAGTCTTAGCCACTGGACCACAAGGGACGTCCTGCTTCCTGTCTTTTAATCAATAGAACTTTATCACAAAGCTGTAGAATGTTTGTAACCTCTGGTGAGTGTTATGGACTGAATATTCATGTCCTTCCAAATTCACACTTGGCAGCCCTAACCCCCAGCGTGGCTGTATTTGGAGATGGCGGCTCAGGAAGTAATTAAGGCTTGATGAGGTCATAAGGGTGGGGCCCTGATCCAATAGGGTTAGTGTCTTTATCAGAAGACACCAGAGGGTCCGTGCACATGACCACAGAGCAAGAAGACCCCATCCACCACCAGAGGGGAGAGCCTGCTTCAGAACAGACCCTTGGCCTTGGACAGCCAACCTCTGAAACCGCGAGAGAATGAATTCTTGTCATTTAAGGCACCTGGTCTGTGGTGTTCTGGCTGGAGCTGACTAATACAGTGAGGAGCTGGGCAGGAGTCACTGGTATTTGGGCTTCGCAGGTGTCTCAGTGGGTGGAGAATCTGCCTACAGTGCAGGAGACCCGGATTTGATCCCTGGCTCGGAAAGATCCCTTGGAGGAGGAAATGGCAACCCCCTCCAGTATTCTTGCCTGGAGAATCCCATGGACAGAGGAGCCTGGAGGGCTACAGACCACGGGGTCACAGAGAGTCGGACACGGCTGAGCGACTGAGCACGCATGCACACTAGTATCTGTGAACTCCTGTGCCGCGTGCTACGTGGTGATGTGCACAGACCACACTACCCTAAGGTTGTGTGAAGCGTTTTATTTAATCCTCATAGTCCTTCTATGCAGGAAGTTCTATTATTGTCCCCCTTCCCAGATAAGACACCAGAGACAGGGCCTAGTGGCCCGGGCAGCAGCTGGTGGAGCAGGCGAGGACCCACGCGGCCCCTTCCCAGCTTCCACACGTGCGTTTTGTCTGCACATCCCCACAACAGGCTGTACTCCCCGAGATCTGGGCTGGCCCAGCTCTTGCGTCTGGTTGACCCTGCACCAAGGCAGGTGCTGATGCACGGAAGCCCGGGGCCTTGCTGTTGACCCTCCCCCCCACACTGGACTGTCATCCCAGGGCCCCTCCCTCCCTGGTCTGGGGTTGAAGGGACCTTGAGCAGCTTCGGGGTCTCCCTCCACGTGACAGGGGGCAACATGCCCCAGCCCTCAGCTCGTGCCCCTGTTATGCTCTTGGTTCTGAGATAGGAGTTGGGACTGTCTGGGCGCCCATCAGGGGCCCTGGGCAGTGACAGATGCTGAAGCCGTGTGGTCCAGGGGCCCTCTGGTCTTGGGACATAACAGCCTGCAGGGACACAGCCGGTGTGAGTCCATCACAGAGCAGAGATGGCAGGCAGGGTGAGGGGCGCCCGTGCCAGGACGCTGGGGGCTCCTGAAGAAGCCTTGAATCTCTCAAGGGTCAGGGCTTCTGTCTGTACTGCCCACCAGCAAGGGCTCAGGCAGGGTGCACCCCACTGAGGGGTCAGCAAATGCACTGGGGGCACCCAGGTGATGCGGGGTCAACAAGATGTCCTTCCCTTGGGTTCTGATTAATGGAGTATCCTGGGCCTCGCGACCATCAGACAGGGAAGCTTCTAGCTTCATCTACTCTTTATCCACCCCTGCTCCCCCTCCCCAAATGAGGACGAGGGGGCCGGAAGCTCCACCAGCCCCGGCTCAGCTCTGGCCTGGCCTAGAGAACCCTCCTGTCGGCGCTAGCTAAGGATCCCTCATCCGTTCCTCAGGAAATTATTCCATAATTCATTTTGCTGCAGGAATAGTATCACTCTGCATTTATTTACATAGCTGCGGGTAAGGAGGTAAATAAAAATAATGAATATCCATTAAACAAAAATACATAATGAGCAACCCCTCCCCTGGCTGTTCCTCGGGGCTCTGCTCCTGTGGGGGAGGGTTCCATTTCCCGCCCGCGTGGCCTGAGCATCGCAGTGGGCTCCGAGGAGGCCCTCACCTTCGGCGAGCTGAGTTGCCTGCTGGGTCCTGCTTGGGGGCCCTTGGGGCTCAGGTCAGCTCTGCCGATGGGGTTGAAAGCCCTCCATCCATCCAGCCCAGCCCAAAGGGCTTGTCCAGCACGGCCCAGGACACCCGCCCCTGTGGATGGTTCTGGAGAGCATCCACAGCTCTGAGCACAGAACAGGCAGAGTCTGGGGTTGAGGAGCTGGGCTGGCCGTGGCAATACAATCAGCGGAGCCCTCGACCCGCCAACCCATGCCTTCCCTTGCCTCCCCAGGTGAGTCTGCAGGACCCGAGCCTCGTGGCAGGTGGAACGCAGAGAGCCAGGAGCTCCGTGTCCACCGCCGGTCTGAGCACAGGCTTCCACGGCAGGGCGGGTCCTGGGGAGGGAGCGGGTCGGCTCACCTCACACAGCACATGTGCTCCACACATCTGCCCCACGCGGTCAGCGACTGCTGAGCCACTGGCTCCTGGGGACACAGGGCCGTGTTCCGGGAGCTCCGCCCCCAGCATCCCAACCCCGGTCAGTGCAAAAGACTCCTTGTTCCATATATACTGTCGACGCTTTAATGCTGGACTCAGCTGACACTGCAACTCACGCCTGACCCAAGGGTCGTCCAATCCAGCCCTTGTGCAGTGGGCCACGCTGCCCATCAGGCCAACAGGCCCCTCCCACCCCCAGCATCACTCACTACTTCCCCAGGTGGACGAGCTGGCCAAGGTGCCCCCTTCTTGTCGCTCCTCATTCTGGCACCTCATTCAGGGCTTCGCCTGCCAAAGCCTCACTCTGGAGTCGTGCCTGCCCCACAGCTGATGACCTAGCCCAGAGCGGAGATGGGGCTGGGAGCCTGACCCAGTTTATCCCCTCAGCCTCACGCTGGGGGAAAGATGCCTTGGACATCTTGGAATCCTAAATGGACAGGCCAGAGGAGTCTAATTGGAGTAGTCATGGTTTAAATACAAAGCTTTTAATTCATTTCAAACGTGCAGGGTCCGAGAATCACATGAAAATAAAGGCAAACTCAACTGTGTTGCCAAAAATGGCATCACCATATTCATTACATGATTAATTTAATACTCTGATTTACAGTTGTCCAGCAATTGTGAGTTGCTTTAAAACACATCCCAAATTGAAAATGCATTTCAAATATTGATGCATTATCACAGATCAGGGCAAAGTAATCCCAGCTGCACTTAACAAGCAGAGCAAGCCTCTTAATGGCGGATTTTGCCGGATAATGTGCGCAGAGCCCTGTTGATGGCGAGGTACCCGGCCTCCTCCGCGGGGCCTCATCTCCAAGCCTTCTATAAAGAATTTAAAGGGCCAAGAGCTTTAAGGGTGGTTGTGGAGAGATGGGTGGCATTCATTACTTCTTACTTAATTTTTCTCCTAAATGTGGAATGTGAGGTGCAGACCACTTTTAAATTACATTCTTACATGATAAACCAGCGGCCCAGAAATACGCGTGCTGTAATTGAATCGAGATGAAAACGTTAATGCAGAAGCGATGACCAGCAGGCAGCTATTTCGGGATGTCGCAGAAGAGGACGGGGAGGGCGCCTTGGGCCCCGTTTTCATCCCAGTAACAAATGGGCTAATTTGGGGATGGCGCTCATGACCATTCCTATCCCAGCCTGATGCAGCTGTCAACGCCCTGGCCAGGAGGCCGTTCTCTCTGCACCTCTAGCAGGACAGCGATTCTCCAGCACTTGGGGACCCCTGGGCACTGGGAAGGGCCTTGGCCCACCAACCCTGAACGAGGCATCTCTGAATTCACACCAGGTCCTGTGAGGCTCCGTGACCACCCCTGGAAGAGCTGGCAGACCACCGGGGCATCCCGGGTGGAAACCAGGAGAAAAGCCACATCCTTCTCGTTAGACCGGTTCCCGGCATGACGGGTCGGAAGATACATGCATGCGTGCTAAGTCGCTCAGTCATGTACAGCTCTGTGAAACCCTATGGACCGTAGCCTGCCAGGCTCCTCTGTCCTCTGCCTTCTCCAGGCAAGAACACTGGAGTGGATTGCCATGCCCCCCTCCAGGGGATCTTCCCAACTCAGAGACTGAATCCGGGTCTCTTGTGTCTCCTGCATTGGCAGGCCAGTTCTTCACCACTAGCGCCACCTGGGAAGCTTGGATATATTTACACATACATATAAAATGCACAATTGGCTATAATTATCTGGATTTCTACTGTAATCTTTACTGAGATTTCTTGTACTAGAGGGGAGACCTCTGAGGTAAAATGATAATATTTCTCAATTCATAGAATACGGAGGGTTCAAGGTGGAAAGGCTTTATGAAACTGAAGACCAAGAAGGAATCAGACACAGGTGATTAAATTTCCCTCTGGGGTTCAGAGCATCCTACGTCCTATGGCTGGTCTTTACAAAGCTGAGCACAGCTGTGAAACGGAAGTCCTAAGACCTCTGGCCGAACCCGGGGAGCCTGTGGATGTGCTGGGGTCTCTGCTGCACCTCTGAGGCCGGGATAAGATGCCGGCAGGGAAGGCCTGTCTGATCTGGGGCTGGGCTGCCGGGCGGTTGGGCTGCTCCCGTCACAGCCACGGCCCTGCCCCTCTGTGGGTGCTCAGCCCCCTGACAGCATGCCCACAGAGCGGGTCTCCGTGATTCAGTAAATGACCCATAGACCTTCCAGAGGGCAGGGCCTGGACAGTGAGCCCTGGACCCCGATGCCTCACAGACACCCCCAGATGTCTGGGCTCTCCCCGGAGCCATCAAGCTGACGCATGAGATTAACCATCACCACCCCCCCTCCCCACACTGCGAGGGCGCCGGAAGGCAGGGCCAGGGCCCGGGGCCCCTTCCTCTGAGTGTACCTGGTGCGGCTGTGTGGCCTTCGTAGGGTCGCCCCTTGCCAAAAGCACGAGCGTCCCTGGAGTAGGGGGTTTTCCCGACTTGGAGCAAGAGGACAAAGTTCCAGAGGCTCAGAGAGGGAGGCCGAGAGGCCATCGGTCGGTCACAGGCCGGGGGATGGACCGGGTGCCCCTGGGGGCCTACCTGCAGCTGCAGGAGCTGGATTTGGCCAACAGCCCATGGGTGTGGAGGAGGACTCCCTCCAGACAAGGGCTGGCCCTGACACCCGGATTTCCGCCCGGTGAGGCCGCCAGACCCTGACCTGGTAGCTGATGATTTTCAGGGGCTTGTGTGCAGCGGCGGAAACCAATGCCCTCTGCCTCCCATTGGTGCTGGAGAGGGAGCCAGGCGTGGGCATGGCTGGCAGGACAGCTCCGGAAGGTTCCAGCAGGATCCCCAGAGGCCCTGCCTGGAGGGTGGGGCTGGGAGTGGGCTCCGGGGTCTGAGGCCCATCCTCGCTTCCTGTGTCCCTTTTCCCAGAGACCGGACGTGGCTGGGCTGCCCCCAGACCTCATACCTGCGGCGGCCACCTGGGGGTGGCAGAAAGGGCAGCTGGGTCCCTGCCGGGCCTCCGAGAGGCTGGCCCAGGCACACTGACCCCCTCTCCGAAGGGGGTGAAGGTGATGCTCACAGTGTGCTGGGGACCCCTAGAGCCCCCAGCTGTGCGGCAGGCCAGCCATGGGGACGGGGCCAGGCCGCCCCCCGGGTCCTCGTTGTCTGCAGGCCTGTCCCAGCCCACGTCACGGGCTCTCCCCGTGGGGACCGGGTCGGGCCGGCGGGTCCAGGGTGGAGGGTCCACCCTGTGCGGGGAGCCCACCTGCCGACTGGCCAGGCTGAGCAGGAGGAGCTCACCACTCGGGCCCCGACATCCCCCAAGAGGGCTGGGCCTCAAGGGCCCGGCAACCCTGGTGCCCTGACAGGATCCGGCTGAGGGCCGGCACTCCGAGGGGCCTTGCCCCCTTTCGAGTGTGATGGACGGAGGCTGGGAGGAAAGGTGCCCCGAGCGGAAGGCGCGGGGGGGCAGAGCCCGCTCTGCAGAGACCCCGCAGGCCCGTCTGTGCGGAAGTGTGTGGGCAGCCCCGCGGCTCCTTCTCATTCCTGCCCCGCACCATGCGCCCGCATTGGAGTCCTAACCCCCCACCTCAGGAGGTGCCTGTGTTTAAAGACAGGGGCTGGAAAGAGGTGCTGAGGTAGAATGAGGTCACTAAAATGATAACTGCGGGAGGATAAATTTCTTTTGTTCAACCTGCGCAGTTTGTGGGACTTTGTTAAGACAACCACAGAAAACTGGTATGACAGCATCTGGCTCAGATGATAAAGAATCTGCCTACAATGCAGGAGACCCAGGTTCCTGGGTCAGGAACATCCTCTGGAGAAGGAAATGGCAACCCACTCCAGTATTCTTGCCTGGAGAATCCCAAGGACAGAGAAGCCTGGCGGGGTTACATACAGTCCATGGGGTTGCAAAGAGTCAGACACGACTGAGCATCTCAGCACCTAAAAGAAAACCAAAACACAGTTAAATGAGCAAGGATGCAAAACACACAGACTTACAAATCACTGAATTCCAGTTAAAGCGCCGCCGCAGGCCAGGGGACCGGGCGGGGACGTCAAAGCCTCTCTGTGGAGCATGCGGTGTCATGGTGATTTGGAGCTGTTTGTCCTTTGGGCGTGTGATTTGCTGCCCTGTCCTCGAGGTTCTCACGTTTTTATAGATGTGGTGAGATGTTTGCCCCATCACCTCTCACTTCGCTCCTCATTTAAGTCAAGATTTAGTCTCATCTGCAGATAAGCCCCGATAAAGGCAATTAGCATAACAATCCGTGAACAGCAACAGGTCAAACCCCAGCATCTGGAGAGTCCCTGACACACCCTGCCTTCTCTGGGATGTGCGCCTGTGTTTAATCAGAGAACCCTAAGAGTGGCTTGACTCGCCACACAGTCATTAGAATATTCAGAACTGAATCTTTGCGGATTTTAAAATTCATGAAGTCCTCTGCATTTGCAGTCCCCGAATAGGAATGGGCGGGGGAGCAGAAGAGTCCAGAAGAGCAGGGTGGAAAGTGCTGGACTTTCTCGGGCCTGCACTGGGCCCTGGTCCCCACCCACCGGGACTGTGGAGAGCCTCCCCCGGGCTGGCCGGCCTCAGCTTCTGCTGGACGATCAGGGCTGGCCTGCAGGCGACACGTGGTGTGAGACCGGGAGGGATCTCACAGGGCCCCAGGCCAGGGGCAAGCCAGGAAGTCTCCTGTATCGGTCAGCTCCCCTGAGACACAGGGCCAGTGGGGTGTAGATGCAGAGACAGATGTGGTAACAGCTGGAGACCCAGATGCAGTTAGAGCTACATAGATGTAGACACAGTTCTAGATACAGGTGTGGATACAGGTGTAGAGACAGACACAGACACACATGTAGAGTCAGATCAGCGACCCTGGTGGCTCAGCGGTGAAGAACCCGCCTGCAGTGAGGAGACACGAGGCTCACGTTCAATCCCGGGATCGGGAAGGTCCCCTGGAGGAGGGCATGGGCAACACACTGCAGGACTCTTGCCTGGAGAATCCCCATGGACAGAGGAGCCTGGTGGGCTACAGTCCAGGGGGTCGCAAAGAGTCTGACACAAGCTAACAACTAAGCGCAGCTCAGCAGCACACACACACAGCTGCAGATACACAGACATGGATGCATCACAGATGCAGAGACGGAGACGGATGCATCACAGATGCAGAGACGGAGACGGATGCATCACAGATGCAGACACATATAGATATAGGGCAGATACATACAAAGACACAAATACAGAGATGGAGACGGATACATCACAGATACAGACATATATAGACATAGGACAGATACAGAGATGGATGCATTACAGATGCAGAGACAGAGACGGATACATCACAGATGCAGACACATATACACATAGGGCAGATACAGAGATGGATGCATCACAGATGCAGACACATATAGACATAGGGCAGATACAAAGATGGATGCATCACAGATGCAGACACATATAGACATAAGACAGATACAGATACGGATGCATCACAGATGCAGATATGGAGATGGGTACCTTAGAGATATACACATAGCTGTAGATACTTATATAGACAGTACAGATACAGATATAGATACTACAGATATGGATACATCACAGATGCAGATATGGATATGGATACATTACAGATATAGATATAACTGTAGATACAAATATAGACAGAGTACAGATACAGATAAAGACACATGTACAGATATGGATACATCACAGATATAGATACAGATGCAGTTTCAGATATAGATATAGCTGTAGATATAGATATAGACATAGACACAGATGTAGTTATAAATACAGTTATATACACACTTACATATACATGTATTTCTATTGTAGGAATTGCCTCAGACCATCACGGAGGCTGAGAAGCCCCAGCACCTGCCCTCTTTCAGTGGAGGAGACCCAGCACAGTCAGGGCTGTGGCCCCAGGCCCGCAGCAGGAGGGGACCCCTGTCCCGGCTCCGACGGCCAGGCCGAGAGCTCCACTCCCTTCCTCCACCCGTGTACTGTTCCGTTCAGTGGGTTGGCGGAGCTCCTCCCAGCACACACGCACACACACGCACATTGATGCATGCACACACATGCACACACCACACAGGCACACTCAGGGCTGAGGCTTAACCACACATCTGGGCACCTCTTGACCCAGACAAGTCCACACATGAGAGGAACTGTCACAGCACTGGGCCCAGGAGGAGGGCCTGAAGAGCCGGCTCAGTGCCAGCCTCACCCGCCGACCTGCTCTTGCTTGCCCCCTCCTCCTGGAGCTGCCCCCTGCCTGGGCCTGGGGGAGAGAGACAGGCTGAAGGGGATGCTGAGGGTGCTCTGAGACCACCCCCCCACCCAGGTGCATGAATAAGGCCAGCCCAGCACGTGTTCCCCAAAGCGGAGGGGAGCCTGAAGAGCTGTCCCGGCCACATCCACAGGAAGTGGCCCCTCACACACACCGCCCTCCGCCCCGCACGTCCAAACCCTGCCCTCGGGGTCGTGATGCCAGAGCCCCCACTGCGTGGCATGTTGGGGGCAGAGGCGAGAGTGGTGGCTGGGTCTCGGGGAGGACCTGGTGGGGTTGACGGGTCGGTGGGGGAGATGCAGGCCAGGCAGCCCTGGGCAGGCCGGGGTCGGAGGAGATGGGGCGTCAGGGGCGTTGACGGCCAGGCTGACCAGGTCAGGAACAGACGCCACTTACCTCATTTAAGCCTGTTCCTTTTCCATCGATTAAATTGTTCTGTCTGTCACCCTGATCTTGGTTTTGCTGTGGAAGGTGATGCTGCTTCTGGTAATTCAGGTGTGGGATCCGTTTGTGATTTCACGTTTCCCAGTGTTCACACCCTCCGACAGCTTCCCGCCCGCAGAGCGTTTGGGGGAGCGACGCCGAGCTCACAGTCCCGGCTGGGGCAGCGGCACGGGGCCGCGGGTGCGCTGCGGACTCCTTCCTGGGGCCACCCGCGGGGTCGCGTACAATGCATATTTTGTACACAAATGTACTTGTGCGTCTTTTCTGCGAGGGTGGCACTGAGAGCAGAAGACAGTGAACAGGCAGCAGCAGGACCGTCTGGGCGGCCCTCCCAGAACCGCCGATCCAGACCCTGGGGCTGTGCCGGCCTCTGACCGGAGGCCCTCCTGTCCGCCTCTGGCTCCTCCCGCGCTGGGCTGCTCCCCCTCATCCCGTCCGCGCTGGGGCCTCGCTTTGACTCCCGCAGGGGAATTACAGGACACCCCCCTCCGTCCCCCAGGCCTCAACTCACTTGTTCTGGGATTTGAAGTACGGAGAACTACAGACTTCCCATGGAATGCCGAGAGGAAGCGCCATTCCCAGGTCTCCAGTCACCTCTGGGCCTCTTGGCTCTGGAGAGGAAGTCTTTACACGGGTGGAGATGTCCTGTCATCCACTTACCACCCTCACGGGATGCTGCCCCCCACGGGGCCGGCTCCCCTCCCCCACGGGACCGGCTCCCCTCCCCCACGGGCCGGCTCCCCTCCCCCACGGGGCCGGCTCCCCCCTCCACGGGGCCAGATGCCCCCCCACGGGCCGGCTCCCCTCCCCCACGGGGCCGGATGCCTCCCCCACGGGCCGGCTCCCCTCCCCCACGGGGCCGGCTCCCCTCCCCCACGGGCCGGCTCCCCTCCCCCACGGGGCCGGCTCCCCTCCCCCACGGGGCCGGCTCCCCTCCCCCACGGGGCGGCTCCCCTCCCCCACGGGGCCGGCTCCCCTCCCCCACGGGGCCGGCTCCCCTCCCCCACGGGGCCGGCTCCCCCCTCCACGGGGCCAGATGCCCCCCCACGGGCCGGCTCCCCTCCCCCACGGGGCCGGCTCCCCCCTCCACGGGGCCAGATGCCCCCCCACGGGGCCGGCTCCCCTCCCCCACGGGGCCAGATGCCCCCCCACGGGGCGGCTCCCCTCCCCCACGGGCCGGCTCCCCTCCCCCACGGGCCGGCTCCCCTCCCCCACGGGGCGGCTCCCCTCCCCCACGGGGCCAGCTCCCCTCCCCCACGGGGCCGGATGCCTCCCCCACGGGCCGGCTCCCCTCCCCCACGGGGCCGGCTCCCCCCCGCCACGGGACCAGCTCCCCTCCCCCACGGGGCCGGCTCCCCTCCCCCACGGGGCCGGCTCCCCTCCCCCACTGGACCGGCTCCCCTCCCCCACGGGGCCGGCTCCCCTCCCCCACGGGGCCGGCTCCCCCCTCCACGGGGCCAGATGCCCCCCCACCGGCCGGCTCCCCTCCCCCACGGGGCCGGCTCCCCCCTCCACGGGGCCAGATGCCCCCCCACGGGGCCGGCTCCCCTCCCCCACGGGGCCAGATGCCCCCCCACGGGGCGGCTCCCCTCCCCCACGGGCCGGCTCCCCTCCCCCACGGGCCG